TTCAGAAGAAAAGAAAGGATTTCAAAAAACCTGTGTGACCTTATATATGGCAATGAGTTTTAGATTCAATATCAAAGTACAATCCATGAAAGAAAAAAAAATCAATAAATTCCATTTCATCAATATTTAAAACTTATGTTCTGCTAAACACACCATTAAGAGAACAAAAAACATTCACTGCTGATGGGAATACAAAATGGTGTAGTACAGCCAACTCAGGAAGTGACTTCAGCAGTTTCCTCTAAAGTTAACACAGATTAAACATATGGCCCCAGGAATTATGTTACTAGGTTTAGCCAACTGATTTGAAAGCATGTGTCCACACAAAACCTGTATGCAAATGATTATAGCAACTTTATTCAAAATTGCCAAAAATTAGAAAAAAGAAAAGAATCACCAGGAGGTGAGAGGATCCTAGGATAGTATGAAGACTATGAAAAAGAGCCTGACTATATTACAAACTATATTACATAACTTCACTTAAGGAGGTAGAGGGAAAAAAGAAGAGCCATTCTAAGTAACTTTGGAAAGTGGTACTTTGGAAACCGTAACATTAAAGACTAAAGGAACTACACATGAACAGTGTACTCTAGTAGGTAAAGTTGTTTCTCATGGGGGTATCTGTTAATGATTCTGAAAGAGTTATAAGGTATACTGGGGTAGAAGAAATAAGGAAATGATGGATGGTAGGGGATGGAAACCAGGTTTCCTACTGTTGGAGAGGAAATTACACATAAGAAAAAGGAGAAAGCCAGAATGAACTATGTGGCATGGATTAGAATCAGAGAAATAAGTATGAATTCAGATTAGCTTAATAAAGATACAGATAGATACATACATAAATAATTTCATATATGTGTATGTAAATCAGTTAGTATACATACATATACTTCCTAGCTCTTTCTGCTGATTGGGACTAAAAGTAGCCACACCAAGTAACAGTGAGCACACTCAGAATCCAGATCTTGGTTTCTAGTACCGTTTTCCAATAAAAGGAATCATGGCCCTTTGAGGAATGACTGATTCTACGAGTGAGGCAGATCCCTATACATCCCTACACATCCCTACAAGACATGACCCAGGGGCATCCTGTGGTGCAGAAAAGTAAGAAAACTGTTTAAAAATCAAAAGGATGGGGACATGTCAAAGGGATATGGAGGCCAACTGAAAGAGCTTCCAATGGCCAAGCTGGAACACTTCAAGCAACACAATAAATAACACAGTATTAGATTACAACCCAAAGTATTAAATGAGTATCAATGAGTCTATACTAACATAAACAAACAAACAAATAAATAAATGAGGGAGAGGAGACAAATCTCCTGTACTGAAGAACTAGAAATAATTTATGTAGATATTTTCCGTGAGGCAAGTAGAGCTCAATCAACCTCTCAGCCCCCACCCCTTATCCCCACTTCTGAGTATGGGCTGCACTTAAGTAACCTGCTTCAAAGAATATGAAAGGGGAATGTTGGTAAGTAACTTTACAGTGGAGAAACATGGTAAGCACTACCCTGGCTAGGTGACCAAGATTAACATCACTGGTGTTAAGTCATGTTGATAGCATAATGTTGAAATAATATGATGAGAATGGCACTTCAGTCCTGGACTCGTTGTCCCCCCAAAACTAATACCTCAGTCTAACCATGAGAAAAATTAAAAAAAAAAACAACAAAAAACCAAAAAAAAAAAAACCAAATCGAATAACATTCTATCAAATGCCTGACGAATACTCCTGAAAACTGTCAAAGTCATCAAAAACAAGAGAAGTCTGAGAAAATATGACTAGAGTAGGCAAAGGAGACATAGCAACTAAATTAATATGGGATCCTGGATGGGATCTTGGAACATAAAAAGGACATGAGAAAAATTAGTGAAATCTAAAGAAAGTGTGGAGTTTAGTTTATAAATATATACCAATGTTGCTTTCTCCCCCATGCCATACGTAACATAATTAACATAAGCCGTTAAGAAAAAGGAAAACTGGAAGGTGGTTATATGGAAATTCCCTGTACTATCTTTGCAAACTTTCTGTAAATCTAAAAGTATTCTAAAATAAGAAGTTTATTGGGGGGAAAAAGGAAGTCCAAGGAAAGACAGTGGAGTGAAATCTGAACATAGAAATCTGCCACATGAGCGAAGATAAAAAATTAGTCAAACGGTAAAGGAAGTAGGAGGACATCACATAGTAATTTTTAAAAGTAGGGTAGACATACGATGGTTTGGGCCAGGTTCACCGAACTTCTCCTTTTACACATAAAAACAGGTATGAAGAAAAGACAGTGAGCTCACCAAATCCTGAGAATTTTTCACTAACACCACACAGCTTGGAAATAACCTGAGAGACTAATGAATTGTATAGATAGCCCAGAGAAAAGTAAAATCCTTCCTGAACAGAAGAAGCCTGTGTTACAGAAGAATCTTTACAAAGGAAGGAAGAAGCACCAGAGCAGGCCATTTTCCACTATACTGATGGAACAAATAAAAGCCCAAAAGTAATACTCCATGGAATCTGGATATACACAAGAATAGGTAGAGTGAGCCCATGGTCCACTGCAAGACACCAAACAATTGGAATTACTAATATAAAGAAAAGGCTTGAGATGATCACAGTGAATGCAGAGAAAAAGAGAGGGATTCGAATAATTATTAAACAGATAATACAGAAAGACAAAAGTGCCCCAATAATAAGAATAACTAGAGTCTCTAAAACAGCCTAACAGATAGAATACAAAATTCACAAATCTAAAATTTCCATGAACTAAAACAAGAATCAAATAGTCCTTAGAGAGGCATGCTGTGGGTTCCAAATACTTTTTTAAAGAAGAATCAAAACAAATACTATGATTAAGTTCTTCTAAGAACAAAGAATCCTTCAGGCAGAAAAAAATAAAAAACCAAAACAAGTCACATTTAAGTAAGGGAAAAAAACCTGTAACCTGACTTCTTTTTAGCCAAACTCAATGTCAAAAAATAGAGTAACATTTTTATAATGTTTAGAATAAAAAAATACTTAACTCAATAATTTTATTCATAAGCAATTTGAATATAAGAATAACACAAAGCCAGTCTGAAGCATGCTAAATCTGAGAATAAAGTATTTATTAGCCCTTCCTCAAAAAACTGAAAATGAAATTCGGTTATCCAGGGATTTCCCAAAATAAAGAAATCAGGTATAAAAATGTCATGTATGAAAAAAGTTGCAGATAATGATTATTTAATCCTTTTAAATATAAAATCAAAATTAAACAAGAGGGGGACATTTTGGCTATAGAATCTAATACAATTTTTACAAAGATTTTATAACTAGAATTTATAAAGAAAAAAAGGAGTTTAAAACTTACTCCATAACTGAAAGTCAAATGATACTATTTAACCGAAACACCGCAAATTTCAAAAAACTGAAAAGAATTGATGATTCCAAAACCTTAATGTTTTTCAGTCTCTTAAATTTTGAAGAATCTTTGGGGAATTAACATATCTTACTGTATGAAGTAGACTTTGCATGAGGTTCAAAAATTTCTTTAGTTTCATTTCAATTGATTATTACTCCCAAATTCAAATAACACACAGCACCAGCTATGAACCAGGTACTTTTCAATATTTATTAAATCATTTAGTCCTCATAACCACTTATACAAAGTAGGCACTATTTACCCATTTTGTAAGCAAAAAACTGAGACCCAGAGACTCTCGGTAATTTGTCCATGGCTGTACAGCCAGGAAGCAACACAGCGAAGATTCAAACACAGATGTCCGGATTTGGATTCTGTGCTGTTAGCCTCTGCATTATATTGCCTCTCAAATAAAACAGTATGTAGAGAATTATTTGATTTTTATCAAATTAATTCTATGTATACATCCACTCAACCACCAACCATCAACCATTCATTCTTGTAGATAATAGTATTTAACTATATAAGCAAAGAAAATGTTTGGAATAAAGTTTCTCTATTGATAAAGATAGTTATTTGGGAGTAGACACTGGGGAATTCAGGTAAATTTTTTTTTTAATTTCTATTATTCAATGAGTTTAACACCTTATAATGAGTATCAGTCTTCAAAAAAAATGAAGCCATTAATCTAAACAAAAAACAAACCACATTACCTAATCACAACTTGAACACTGTCATGTTAATTATTTAATGACTTTTTGTCTCCCTAATGAACAATGTTTTAATTAGTATTTTACTGTAATCCCCCATGGAGCCTAGCACAATGTCGGGCAGAGCAAACACTCAATAAGTATATTGATGGATCATCATAAAATATTACATTACTACACTGTACCTATCTTACAAGTAGTATATTTCTAGATGCTCTAGAGCCTTTACCTAAATCTGACTCCTTAGACTAGTATCATTTACATTATCAGGGAACTTGAAGAAAAACAGAATCTTTAGCTCCACTCCATACTTATTGAATGAGAATGAGCATTTTAAAAAGATTTCCCAAGTGATCACATTAAAATTGGAGAATTTCTAGAGCATTATTTATCTAAGTGTGGTCCATTATTTACCTATATCACAATCACCTAGGTTGCTTGTTAAAAATGTAGATTCTCAGGCTCTACCCTATTTCAAGTGTCATTGTATTTTATACTACACCTAATAAAAGTAAAAAGTAGTGATGAATAGGAATGAGCATATTAAGCAGAGAGCAGTGAAAGAACCTACATGGTTTAAATAAATCAAGAAAGTGATACTAAAAGAGGGAAGAAAAGAGGCATTGCAAAGGAAGGTAGAGTAAGTATACCAACAGTAGGCTATCAAGAAGTACAGAGAGTAATTGTATAGAGAGTGCTGTGTATTCCCCCTCACCCCCCCTTTTTTTGACTGTTATCCCTGACATGCCAACTACCACAGCATGACTGTGGGAATACGAAATTTACTGGTGAACCATATAACAATCAGTAACTTTTCTTAATATGTAATTACCACATAATGCATGCACTTTATAAATGCTCCAAAAGTCACATATAGTTTTAAATGTATACATACACTTTTAGAGACATTTCCATATGCTTGGCTCGAGCCATTGCTTCATCTCTCTCCTCATTGGCTAACTGCAGTCGAGACATAATAGCTTCATCACGTTCCTTCTGTGCAAAATACACTTCTTCAACCAGAGCTACCAAAATATATAATCCATAATTAAGTAGAGAAAATTTAAAAATGTATACTTTTAGCAAAAAGAAAAACAATTTTGTTATTTTACTAAATTAAATTAGGATCAATTAATCCTTGAAAAAACATTTTTAAAAGCTACTACAAAATTGAAATACATTTCATACCCATAAAAACACAAATTAAAAGGTCAAATAATTACAAATACTGTGAGCTTGTGAAATAAAGGAAACTCTCACATACACTGCAGATAGGTGTATATATTTCTACAGCCATTGAGTAATTTGACAATATTTATTACAGTTAAAGATTTGCCTATAACCTGGCAAATCTCCTATTTAGTATGCAGCCTAGAGAAATTCTTGCATATGTGCACAAGGAAACATGTATAAAAAATGCTTACTGCAGCATTATATAACAGCAAAAACTTAGAAATAACCTAGCTGTCCAATAACAGGAGCAAGAATTAAAAAATTACTAAACATTCAAAATGGAATACAACATTTAAAATGAATTAGGTGGACACATTTCAAGAATAAAATTACAGCAAAAATTGCAAGGTCCAAGGCAAAACAACTCTACATATCATTTATGGACAAACACAATTAGTAAAAATATTAAAACAAGCATGGCAATGATAATCATCAACTTCAGGATAGTAGTTATGTCAGTAGCATAGTGGAAGAAAAGGAAAGAAAATGGGATCAAGGAAAAAGCAAACGGGCAGAGCTGAGCTCTTTAGCACTGCGCATCTCCAGAGAGCATTGTTTACATAGATCGTAATACAAATGGTCTCATCTAGATTTGTGCAGCACTACATAGGGAGCTTTGATGTTATCTGAAATTGTCATTTCTCAAGTAATTTCTACCTGAAATCTTATATAACTTTTTTTTGTAGCTTCATGTTGTATTTTATTTATTTTTTTGAAGTTTTTTTATTATGTTACGTTAATCACCATACATTTCATCATTAGTTTTTGATGTAGTGTTCCATGATTCATTGTTTGCATAATAACACCCAGTGCTCCACGCAGAACGTGCCCTCTTTAATACCCATCACCAGGTTAACCCATCCCCCTACCCTCCTCCCCTCTAGAACCCTCAGTTTCCTTCCCAGAGTCCATAGTCTCTCATGGGTCAGCTCCCCCTCCAATTTGCCCCCCTTCATTTTTCCCTTCCTACTTTTTTTTTTTTTTTTTTACCATATAATGTATTGTTTGTTTCAGAGGTACAGGTCTGTGATTCAACAGTCTTACACAATTCTTATATAACTTTTAAAGTATCACTGCAATGTTAGACAAAAAGGGGCTCAAAGACCTAGATCACTGAACCAAATTTTACTTACACTGTCAAACCACAAAATAAACTTAGGAAAGATGTTTGAAATGTTCTTTTAGTTCACAAAACATTGGGTTTTTGCTAACATTTGTCATAGATTAATGCATAGCTAATCAAAAGTTATTCTTGTATTATTTAAATTATAACTGGTAGAAAAGAAAAAAACCCCGAGAGTAAATCATCTATATCTTTTCCATAATAGAATATAAAATGGAACATGTAACAGCAAAGCTAAAGTCAAAACCATTTTCAAGAAAGTGAGCCTAAGGGAAGAGAAATATATTCATTCATTTCTTCGCTCATTCATTAATTTATTCTTTCATCAAATATTTATGAAATTCCTGTGGCAGTCACCCATCCAGTTTTAAGTGGTATGACTACAGTGTTCTTAAAAGTCCTTACCTTCCTGGAGATGTATACATTCTATTATAAAGAGAAAGAAAGCAGGGCCAGCCAAAATTAAACAGGCAGATAGATAGATAGAAGTAAAGGTTTTGAAAGAAAATAAGGGTGTGTGAGAGAAAAAAAAAAATGATTTGGAAGATGGGAAAAGAATAAACTAATTTAGGAAAGGTGGCCAGAAAAGGGCTTTTTAAATAAATGACATTTCAGCACATGTAAATAAAGGAAGAGAAGCCATATATACCTATATATTTGAAAGTAGACTAATAAGCAGAATAAAAAGTAATACAAAGGCCCTAAAAGTGTTAGAGGAAAAGCTGTAAGGCCAATGTGTCTGAAGCACAGTGATAAAGGGTGAGAGCTCTGGGAGGTCACAATGGGCCTTGTGATCCATAGCAAGGATTTTAGGTATCATCTAACTATAATGGTAGCCAATGGAGTGTCCTGAGCAAGGAAAAGACAGCATCACATTTATATGGTGGAAGTCTGAAAAGGAATTCTGGTTTCTGAGTGAGAAATAGTCTGGAGGTGGGCATGCATAGAAGCAGAGACTAGTTAGGAGACTAGAGGAGTAATCTAAGCAAGAATTCACTTCAATAACCCATATAAATGGCCCATTCCTTTAAAGTAAAGCTACGCAGAAGTAAATATACACATATATGCCATCCTAGAGTTTAGATATTACATTAAAAGACTTCTAGAACAGAAACAATTTGATTAAATCTGTGCTTTAGAAGGAAACACCCACAAGTTGGCATATAGAGTGTATGTGAAAGATGTGGGGGTCAGCAGAAAGTTGCAGGTTGGATGGTGTGTGCCCCTTGACCCAATCGTAGATTACTGTAACAGTTCAGGTAAGAAATAATGAAATCCTGAACCAAGGTAAGGACAATAAAATTAAAAAGAAAAAGAAAATGGATTCAATTCGTAACAAAAAGGGTAAAATAACAGAACCCAAGAGCTAAGCATGTACTGAATAAATTTTAGAGAAGAGAAAAATAGGACAGGTGACCTCACTAAGCATCTCTCAGTATATCAGCAGTATGATTTTCTTAAAACCTTAGGATAAACAGGTTACTCTTCTTGCTACTGCTACATAGATTTCAAGGCAAAAAACAACAACAACAAAAACAAAACAAAAAACAAAAAAAACGGTCTCAGCGTGGCATTCAAGGAAAACTAGAGTCCAGTTCTAGCTTACCTTCCCAGCATCACCTATCACCATGTTCCCTCCAGGACAATGTTACATATAAAATACAGGTTGCAAAACATGGTTTTTTAACAGTTACATATCACTTTAATGTATATTACAAAAATGTAACGGGTATATTAGGCCTATAATGTCTCCTAGTGTCATTCAATTTAATGTCTAATTAAATTTTAAATTTCTCTGTTACCGAAACACTTTGTTGAGCCAGATGCCCATATGAACGTAACTTTCTATTACTTCATTTATCTGAAGTATACAGATCACAAGGTCACAAAAAATGACCTAGTTATTAAACTTAGGATAATGATTACCTTTTGGAAGGAGTACTGAAAGGGAGGATGAGGGACATTTCTGGGATAACTGGTGATATTTGGTTTCTTGATCTGGGTGCTAGTTACATAATTTGTTCACACTTTCTGAGATTCATAAAACTGCACAGTTATTGGTGTACTTTTATGTTTAGATGTTAAAACTAAATAAGAAACACTACATTAAAAAATACATTTATCTAGTTAAAAAGTTGAGCTGATTTAGAGAAAAATATTAAGAGTAGAAAAAAGTTAGCATGTATGATAAAATTTCTGAAGGTACATGTTAAGATTAAATTTTAAGCAACAGAGACTTGGCCTTCTGGTCAAGATGGAGTAACAGGATCTGGATTTGTCCTTCCACTTAAATCAATTTTTTAAAAGATTTTATTTATTTATTTGCCAGAGAGAGAGAGAAAGTGTGCACATGCCCTCGGGGGTAGGGGCAGAGAGAGAGAGAGAAGCAGACTCCACGCTGAGCAGGGAGCCCAATGCAGGGGCTTGATCCCAGAACCCTGGGATCATGACCTGAGCCGAATGAAGGCAGACGCTGCTTAACCTACTGAGCCACCCAGGTGCCCCAAAACAATTTTTTAAAATGGACAAAATATATAGGATGACAGCTTTCAAGACTGTAAGGAAACAAACAAATGAGTTGAACCCTATGATTAGCCCAGCTTAATACACAGAATTTCCAGAATATGGCACAGGAAGGGAAGAATCAAGGAGGAGCCCAGCTGATTCCACAATTTGGGAGGGCAGAGATAAAATCTGGAGAAACCAAAGCAGCCGGAATTCACAAGAGAGACTGTAAGAGAAAAAACAGCTGCAAAGAAAGAAAATTCTGGAGTTGTACAGAGGGTCTTCGTCAAAATGTCAGTTGAATACTGAGTGCACCTGTGAGTAAACTACTCCATACAGGGGAAAGAACCACCTGAAAGGATTAGAGGCAACAGTGCCCTGGGCTCCAGAAAACCAAAAATAATGCATGTTGTTCCCACCAGCCAGATCAGAAAACCTCAAGATTCATGAGTTACTGCATAAAGGCAAGACTGAGTCCTGCCCCAGCAGTGGGGATTAATCAACCCTAAACACTGCTCTGGTAACATCTAGCGTATCTTTAAAACATGACCCAAAAGGAGAGACCTGTTTCCAAAAAACATAAGTACATCTGATTAGAAAGCTCAAAAATATTTTATAAGAATACAAAATAGCTTCCAAAATGGTAAAATTCATCATGGCATCCAACTGCCAGGCATGCAAACAAGCACCAAAATTAGGACCCATAATGACAAAAAAATTAATCAACTGAAACGGACTAATATTTTTGTCAACCAACTAATACATAACCCTGTTTTATGTGTATTTCTGTTTAAAGACACTTGTTTAACATGTACTTTGATTTAATAACATTGAATCCATGGCCAAAGGCACTGTAACTCATGCCTGAACAAAACTTACCTAACACATATATTTTCTCTGTAACTCACAACATAGACTCCTGGTACTCCGGGAACACTAGATTGTATTTCAGCACTACACTTGGGGGCTGTTTGAAACAGTGAAATCACCAATAAAAGGCACAAAAATGAAGTAAATCTAACACTAAATAAGCCACAACTATAACACTTATTTACAGTATAAGAGTTGAAACAAGAAGGTGGCGTGGCCTTGAATGTGATATTTGTTTTTCTCTTCTTAGTTTGCTATTTTAGTAATTTTTATTAATTTTTTTAAAGATTTTAT